TGGTGTGATGAAATGAATCGCTTTAATTTGATCCTTGATTGAAATAAAACAGATATAAAGGCTTCTTAAAGTTTTATGTTATTTTCTTGTAATACTATTACGCGAAAATACAAAATTCATCATATATAAACGCAATTAAAATCATTGAAACGAGCACAATTTCTCAGCCATAAAAAAAAAATGCATTACTCTTTAATATTTATATTCGCAATACTCTTTGTCACAATCACATCCTATGCTAATGATATAGGAGATGGTGACCCAATGGATCCCGAAAAAATCAAGGCAAAGTTAACATTACCTCATGAAGGTTTCTCGACAAAATCTCAAACCCTAGACATTCATGTTCCTTGGTCACGAAATGAGATTTTTTGTATAAATGTAACCACACCACCACCTAAGATAGTTCTATTTCCTTATTATAATGTTTATATTCGTTGGAAAAAAGTACCAGAATGTAATACAAATACACCCTTAACGAACTTTCAAATAACTTTATATAATAATCCAAAAATTTCCGGAAGTTTTGAAAAACCAAAAGTCAAGCATGATTGGTCAAACAAAATCGCATCGGATGTAACAGAAGATTATTACTTGTGGAATGTTCCATTACTTTACCGAGATCTAGTAGAGAATTTCTCGATATTTTACATTAGAATTGAATCAGAAACTATTGTTAATAGTGGAATGTATATAGCGTTTGGAATGGCAGGACCATTTACAATTTTACAAAATCCTGATAAAGAAAATAAAACCTTATTTGCAGAAGCTAATGATCCGAAAGTTGTGGCACCTACAGTTATTAGTGAACAAGTCAAATCTGCAGGGAAAAGCATAAACGTTAATCCAATGTTGATTTATTCTGAAATGGGAAACGCGATTATTAATTTGACATTATTGTTATCTTTTATAATGATGATCTTTATTCTGTTTACGTAAAATTAATTTGGTACGTAGAAATATGTTTTAAGCAATAGCATTATCTTGATTAAGACTAAAAGTGAAATAGCAAGGCAATAATATTATAATCCATAGATATACTGTATTGTAGTATTTATAAGATTAAAATTTTGAACACGTCGTGTTCAGGATAATATGGAAACAAATTTTATTGTCACGTAAGTGACAGTTATGTGATGCAATAAGTTGTAATAAATAAGAATTCGACATTAGTAATTAAGGGTAATATGTAATAATAATTAAGTAATGCGGGAGAATTAATTAGTATACGGATAATAACGTAGCAATAGCGAGTAATGCAAATGTATTAATAAAATGTAAACGAAAAGGTTTCATGCAAGTTCTATTCTAATTATTTTTTATTAAGTAAAAATAAACATCTAATTATTTTTTATTAAACAAGCAAGTGTCCGATCATTATCTAAGTGCCCCTGAACCAGAATTTCGGTACTGTTAAGTGATATCAATTAACCCCCCGTGACATTTATTCACGAAATTCGCAAAATAAAATTTCAAATATTTAACAAAACAAA